AATACAGTATTTTCCCCAGTAGTTCCAACGGATTGTGGGTCTTGCTCCATGACTGAGATGCCAAAGCCTGCTTCTATCTGTTCACATCCTTACACAGAGAGCTGGCAATTTCATTTCATTCTTAAACTGGGATGATAAAAGTTTTGCTAATAGGCTCCCTCTTGCACCTTCAGGCTAAACACGGATTCAAACCAACATACTTTTTATCCTTAAATCTGACACGCTAGCTGAGCTTCTCCTCACAACCTAATGCCCATCACTTCTAGCCCAGGTGGATTTAATTAAAATCAAATTAATGTAAATCATGCTTTATATTTTAAAAAATCTGATTTTTGTTAGTTTAAATCAAAATATTGATTTATTTTAATTTAATTTGTGATTTAAATCAATCTGATTTTAAAAAACCATTGGTTTTTATCCACCCTGCTTCCAGACAACAAAATTGAGATGCTGGATGTTGTAGTCCAGCACATTTTGATGACACCAAGTAGGGAAACACTGTCCTTCAGGCTTTCCAAATCTACTTTGTGACTTATCACAAGACAAAGCCCAGGACAAAACAGGGGCTGACAGCAAACATATACTAATAGTAAAGGAACACAGCAGCCAGGAACAGATGCTCTGCCCTGTAATCTGCTGCCAGTACCAGATCCAAACTCACAAATCGTTTCACATAAAGACCTTGTCCTGACCCTTCCCTAAACATAATTTTTCAGTAATCGAATTAAGAGGGGAAAGTTTTTAGTTGTTCTGGTTAGGCAACTGATGGTCAGAAATCTTTAGCAATCTACTGCAAATCACCCGCAGCTCTATCAGTAGATAGATACTGATTTACTGTACTTCCCACTCCCACTAGAGTCAGACCATACTGTATGCAGTTCTCATCTGCAGTTTCAATGGCCCATCAATCAAAGATCTAGCAGTTCAGAAATAAAAAGAGAACCCATGTGAGTTCTTAAAGGTTACCCTATCACCTTCAATTAATAAGTCAGGAACAGAACAGTCTGCACAATTTAGAAAATGCCAACTGGCCTCTGACATAACAGTATGCAAACCTTGAACCATATGTTCAGGCCACAAAACAGACTTCACAGATACTTTACTAGTAATCAATGTATGCATGAGTTAGCTGGAAAGCATGCTGGCAGGTAGAGCACTGGAAGTATTTTTTCCAACTAATATTCATCCTAAAATGTGTTTTGAATGCCAGAGCTACGGATGAAAAAGCAGTAAAGAGTATACACAAGCATGAGCAAATTACTCTCACTTCATTATAGAGTGCGACCACAACCATATGCACTTGGGAATGCAATTTTTCAGGAAGGGCTTCAACCCTTTAAAATATAATAAAACCCAAAAACCCTCATCCAATGTGCCAAAGTGAAAAAAATGTTGGCCTTCCAGATGTTTTGTACTACAATCCCCACAATCCCTTACTATTTGACATAAAGGCCAGGCAGACATTTCCGAGAGCTGAAGTCCAAAAGGCTGATAGTTTTCCACACACACCTGCTATTAAGAACAGGAGACTCATTCTCTGAGTGTAGATGCCGATACAGTACAGCTGAAAGAGCTACGTAAGAAATGCATTCACAACTGACAGGCTCTGTAAACTTGGGGAAACCCGAGGTTTTGCAGAAGTGCAAAAAAATAAATCTTTAGGGTGAAGATACGAAGCCACAAAACAGTGTAATAAATAATGAGTATATACACTAGCCACGGAAGGGGGCCAAGAAAAAAAATCCTGAAGAGAGGGAGAATGGAATTTTGAACTAGCGTGCGCTACACTTCCAACATTTTGCTGCAGTTCACCCTTGAAATAGCTAAAAAGAATGTTTGTGTTCTGTATGTCTCAGATTGCTGCAGTAATGGACAGAAGCAACCTCTTGAGGAAGACTGTTGTCTTAGAGCCCTGCTTCTGAGTAGAATTCATCTGTCTGTTATTGGAAAATGAAAATTTAGGCCATATAAACCAAACTCTGATTCAGCAACACCGCTGTCTTCAGAAGTCCATGCATCATGCATTTTATTAATACCCTAAGTTTTTAAAAACATCTTTATTTTCCACAAACACGAAATAAAATTCTATCCTACTGCAAACTTCGTTAAAGAGAGAATTCATTAAAGCAAATGAAAGTCTAGAACGGATCTAGAACATGCCTTCTTGGAGACAGGAAGGAAACTGACCCACAAGCTTCTTCCTCTCCATGAGCTAATGGCCAGCTACAACTAAACAAGTACCATATGATGAGATCACATTCAGGTTCACATACAATATTTCCCACATCATTGTTGCTTCTCTATGGGAAAAGACAAGACTCATGTAACTTTGCTATACAAAACCATCTAGGTAAGCTGCAAGCAGTACACGTTTGTGTAGCTCATTTTATGTGCATTAAGCCCTATGTGTCAATCTACAGCAGCCTTTTCTATTTATTGATTTGATTTGATTTATACCCCGCCCATCTGGTCTAGAAGACCACTCTTCCTATCCACCTGCTGTCCAGGTGTTGGGCTGCAACTTCCTATAAACTCAGCAAGCATGCGCACAATAGCTGGGGATGATGGGTTTTGTATTCTTTTGCATCTAGGTAGGACTACTGCATGGTTGTCCTGTAACATAAAACAAGATCAGAGATGTCTTAACCAAAAGTGCAAATCATCCACCAATTCACAGGGTTACCTTAACACCAACAAAATCTTTCATCTCTCCATCTATAGCTCCAGTTTAATTGCAGATACCAATGGCTTAAATATTTAGCCCAAACATTTTTAGACTCCCATACTCTATGACCTCCCCAACTTTTTACCACCTAGCCTGAGGAAGAGGCTGGGAGAACTAAACGACTTGCATAGTTGTATGAATTAATAGTTGATCTGGATAAAAGCAATGGCCATTGATGGATTTAAAAGGCTTTCAATTTGAATTCCCTACCCTATTCATCTCTCGTTTTTGTAATTCAGAATTAACTGTAGGCCTACATGACATGATTGTTTGTTGTATACTGTATATTTCCAAGAATTTATTTGTAGCACTTGTATACAAAAGGGTATAAAAGCACAAACATAACGTCTTTATGCAGATATCACCCCTGAGTGTTCGGAAAAGGGCTTCCTTCCCATGTAAGAGAATATGCAGGACTGCAGTCTTGAGGTGGGGAACACCCCTGTATTCAGCATAAGATTATAAATGAGTCTTTTCAAGTAGAGATGAGATTCACCAGCAAACCAGGTTTGTTCTCCTGCCCCCCACTTCAGAAATACCCCACAATACACACCAACCACCAGGCCAATATATTTTTGCAGAGGAGCTAAAAAAGCATCTCAGTCACACACTTAAGTCCAAGGGCATAGAAGCCAAAGGCAGACAAAGTTTATTCCCTACCGAGGCCAGAAGGGAGAAAAATCCCTCAGACAAAAAAAAATCCCCACGTTAAACGTCATGACCCCGGATTCCCTCACTGACCCGCGACTGCCCTTTCCTGGCGCGCAAATCTGCCGCCCTGAACTAGCTTGCTCCTTTTGCCCAAAGGCAGGGCCGGCCCTTCAAGAGGAGCTTCCGGCTCCCGAGGCGGCAGGAGTTCTTCAACATGCCATCCCGGCCCAAGGGCACCAGCAGGTCCTCGAGTTGAAGCCATCTTTTCCCCACATAGCTCACGAATCCTCACGGCCGACCAAGTGGCACGTCAGGAAACAGCTGACACGGAGGTGGGGGTGGGGGTGGGGGAGAACCCGGCGGC